CCCAGAAGGGCACCGAGGGGGTGAAGCCCCCCAGGCGAACCACGAGAGCCGCCGTGGTGCCCGCCGGCCGCAGCCGCGCCCGCTCGCCCCGCGCCATCGACTCCAGCGCCGCGTCCAGCGCCGCCGCCCAGCTGCCCTCGCCGGTGCCCACTCGGAGGGTCTGCCAGCGCCCCGCGCCCGAGGAGGGGCAGGGGGGGCCCCCCCAGCCCGCAGGGACCCCCGAGGGGGAGGGTGGGAGGGTGAGGAGGACGCGGCACAGGGAGCCGGGGCCGGGGCGGGAGAGGCCGCGGCCTCGGCGAAGGATCTGCTTGGAGATGGCGCCGTCGGGGCTGTGCCACCATTCGCCTTCCTCCTCCTCGTCCTCATCCTCCTCATCCTCCTCTTCGTCCTCATTCTCCTCCTCCAGCTCCTCAGGCCCCGCCCCCAAGTCCTCAAACCCCTCCCCCTCCGGCGCGCGGAGCCACGCCTCCTCCAGCGACCAATCCCACGGGTCTCTCGTCCGGGTGGGCGGGGCGGGGAGGGCTTGGAGCTCATTGGAGGGCTCCGCCCGCAGCGGCGGCACCCCATTGGCTGGATCCAGCGGGGCTGCGTGCCGATTGGAGGGAGGGGCGGAGGGGGCGGAGCAAGCGCTGGGTGGATCCCTGGGTTCTGCCCTCCCATTGGTCGGTGATGGGAGGGCGCTGTCCTCATTGGCTGCGGCTCCAGGTGCTGCCTCCTCATTGGCTGGGCCGTGTGCTGCTGCATCATTATTTTGTGGGGCTTGTGCTGCTGCTGCAACCTCATTGGCTGAAGCTTTATGTCCTGCATCCTCATTGGCTGGATGCTGCGGCCCTTTGGCCTCATTGGTCAGGTCGTGTGGCTCTGCCTCCTCATTGGCTGGGCCATGCTGACCTCCTCTGTCCTCATTGGCTGGGCCATGCTGACCTCCTCCGTCCTCATTGGCCAAGTCTCTCAGGGCTGGCTGCTCATTGGATGAGCCAGGGCTCCCTTTTCCCTCATTGGATGAGCCCTGAAGCAGTAGATTCCCATTGGATGCTGCACCAGCCAGCCCGAGCTCCTCATTGGCCGTCCCCGGGCTCCTTTCATCCCTATTGGAGGAATCTCCAGGTGCTCGCTGCTCATTGGTCGTTGCTTCTACAGTATCTCCACTCTCATTGGCTGTTCGGTTAACCGCCGCTTTCCCATTGGCTGACCCCGCCCCGTCCATGTCTTCCTCGGCCAATCACGATCCTGGGAAACAGGGGGCGTGGCCAGATCGGGGGGCGTGACCTGAGAAAGAGGGGGCGCGGCCTAACTCGGGGTCCCAGCGCGCCCCCTACTGGCACCCTCCCCCTCCCCCGTGCGGCCTCTCCTCGCCCGTTACGTCACTTCCGGTCGCGACCCCTCCAGGCCCGGGCGCGCCGGGGCGGGGTTTCCATGGAGACACCGCCTCCCCCTCCCCTCTCCCTCCCTCCCGCGAAGGGGCGGGGCGGCTCCTACCGACTCCGGCGGTCCCGGGAGGGGTCCCGGAGGTCCCGGGGGGGGGAAGGGGCGGAGCGGCCGCTTCCCCTTTTCGACGCCGCCGTCGGGAGGGTCCGGGGCGGGAACCCGGAAGCGCGCGGCGCGCATGCGCGGGGGCGGGGCGGAGAAGGGGGGGGAGCCGCGCCGCCATTGGCCGGCGCTGGGCGGGGGCGCGGGCGCTGATTGGTCGGCGGCGTGAGGGGGAGGGGGCGTGGCCTTGGCGCGCGTGCGCGGGGGCGGGGCGCAGAAGGGGAACCACGCCGCCATTGGCCGGCACTGGGCGGGGGCGCGGGCGCTGATTGGTCGGCGGCGTGAGGGGGGAAGGGGGCGTGGCCCCGGCGCGCGGGGGCGAAGCAAGATGGCGGCGGCGATGGCGCCGGAGCTGCTCGTGCAGCTCGAGCAGGGCCCGTTCGGGGCCGGGAACGGGCTGGGCGGCGAGGATTGGGGTGGGAACGGAGCCCTGTAACTGAGGGGGGGGTTTGGGGGGGATTGGGGACCCCCAAAAACTCCTGGGGAAGCGAGGGCTGGGGTGGGAACGGGGCCCTAAAACTGCTGGCGGGGCATTGGGGAACCCCAAAAACTGCTCGGGTGGGGTTGGGAACCCCAAAAAACTGGTGGGAGGGGATTGGGACCCCCTAAAAGTGCTAGAATGGGAAGGGGGGGACTGGGAGGTGTGGTACGAGGGGGGCGTGGCCTCCATGATTTATGCATCGCGGGGGCGTGGCCAAGCCGCGTTGTGGGCGGAGCCGTTCACCTGTGACCCCGCCCCCTCAACAGACACCGCCCTCTTCGGTTGCCTTGACGACCGGCTGGGCCCCGCCCACCTGTTCCCCTCCCTGGACCCCGACCCCATGGTAAGCCCCGCCCACCGAGAGGGAGGAGCTTGTTAAGCTCCGCCCCTTTGGGGGGGTTTTGGAGCCTCATTTCTCCTTTTTCCCCCCCAGTTCGACTGTGCCTTCGATGGGGGGGGCGGCTGTGGCCCCCCCGACCCCCCCTGGGACCAGGAGCCCCCCCGGCTGTTCCCCGGTGAGGGGGGGGGCTGGGGGGAGGATTTCGGGGGGTTATCGGGGGTCCTGGGGGGGCTGGGGGGGGGGG